TTAGTGCAGGCTGTTCTACATTCCCAGGACAGCTGAAAAGGTAGTAAAACCAGAATTATTCACTTCTCTTAAAATTTAAGTTTTGCAAATACTTGGATGTTTCATACCTACAGAAAGAATGTCCCCCTTTGGATACAAATAGCTTGATCCTGCAACCACTCCAGAATCATATGGAATGAAATTGAAAACAAAAGCCATTTTCATTTCTGCTGTCAGTCTTCATTTAAAAGGTGGAGATGAACCTTCCTGCTCACTTTCTCATGAATATTTCTGTGAATAAGATTTTGTTTGCAGTGGAGTCAAAGAATTGTGGGCTTTCATGTGGGGCACTGTTGGTACTGATGTGGCCGTGTTCAGTCTATGGGTTTTGAGGGCTTAGGAGAAGTGTTTTAAGCTCCCCATCAGCAGAAATGTAAGTAGGTATGTTACTGAAGAGAAGGACACGTCTTGGAGAGGAATGACACAATATAACCTCAAAAGAAGACAAATCCCATGGTCTGTTTGTGTTGATATTACTGTGCTGTACTGAAGGAACTTGAAGGAACCATGCAGGACAACTGTTAGGAATATTTTAAAATCTTGTTAACTCATTTCTTGTGTCTTCTAGAAGAAAAATGGTGGAACTTTCTACCAGTATTTCTTTGTGTTACACAGGAGATGCAATCCTGATTATTTTAACAGAAGGATTATCCCAAAAAAGGATCTGCTCTCTAGCAAGTCTCCTCAGAGGGGTTAGCTGCTGTGGTGCAGCACAGCTGTTCATGCCATGACATCCAAGGGCATCCTGCAAGGTGGCTGGGTCAAGGAGTGCAAGCATGGTTAATTCTGGAGGCTGAGGGACACAAAGTCTTGCAAAGCACCAGGACTAATGTTGTTGGACTGGCATGTAGTTTGCCATAAACCAATTCAAACTTTCCTCACTGCAGTTTTTGTTCAGCGAAAGCAAGCTTCAAAAAGAGTAAAAATATGTTTTTTCCAATGGCACCTAACATCTATGTTTTATCAGTCAGTACATAACCTCTGCAATATTATATGTTCACTGTGTGTCACTGTAGGAAAAAAACCTTACCTTTGCAAATAGTGCGTTTTTTTAAAGTGGAGTTCATTACAATGTTACTGAATTAAAAAGTTCAACTCTTCTGCTTATTCTTTCTCTCTCCAGAAATATGTTCTAGTTCAATGCATTTAAGTGTAGTTTGAATTTTTCTTTCCTAAATCTCTGTTTAAAATCTCAAATGCCAACATAACCCCACAGTTTTTTCTCTGACCAAAAGTCCCCTTTCTGTAGGACACGGGGGAGGGGGGGGGGAGAGTTTTCCAGGGGCTAGCACAGAATTTCACACAAAAACCAGCCAGCCTTCTGCATCCCAGTTTCTTATTTAATTTCTGGATCATCTGCTCAGTGGCAGCATTTCAGCTGTTCGTGGAGTTTTCCAGCATCCCACAACCTCCACTGGGTGTGCTGAGGCTTTTATTTCATGGTTGGTTTCCCTGCTATGCTGCCAATGACTGACAGCACACACATGCCCCTGAGAGCACGATGGACTGTGTATAGTTCACCAGGGACATCCTGGCGGCTTGTGAACCGATGCAGGAAATATTGTCAACTATGTGTTACTGATAGATCCCAGCTCTTCTCATGACTCATATCTTTGAAGGTTTGTTGCTTTTTTTTTCTACTCCAGCAATTGATGGTGCCTGGAGCTACCCAAACGTGGTCATTAACCAATAAATACTTGGTTTAAAATATCCTATGTTAACTAACTTGCTTTAAGATAACTGTCTGAGAAGTCATTTATTTAGTACTCATGATCATATCCTAACCGGGTGCCTAATTTACAGCTGGTTCGTAAATGTGCATGTTTAAAAAGCTGGCTCCTGTGAGTCCAGCTGCACAATGTGAGATGAAAATGAGCCGTGAGGAGCCGTGGGATGTGGAGGACAGAGCATGAATGGCAGCACTGCCACTGGGAAATGCTTCTCCTGCACCAAGGGGCAGCGTGGCCTCCCCACACCCCCATCACAGCCCTGGGCTGTGGCCACTTGCCCCCCTGCAACCCTCCTCTCTGCACTGCACTCACATCCTTTTCCAGAGAAATGCATCACTCCTGCTCATGGTGTACATGCCTCGCACCCACACTGTGCTCACTCACCTCACAAGTTCACAAAAACACCTTGCACATCTGTTCCCAGTCTTCTCCTTGGTGTGGTACCAGGCCTTTCTTCAACACCTCAAAGAGAAAAACTGAAAATGAAATGTCTCCTGCTGTCTCTTTGGCATATCAGCATTCAGCACAGTAGGACAAAGAAAATTAGGTTTTTTCTAATCATTCAACCTCTGCTAATGCACGACCCTAAGATAAAATTTTATTTAATCACAGCTAATTTTTCTGTTTGTTTACCAGTCACAACAAAACAAATCAGGAAACTAGGTGTGATTGTTGGGCAGTTTTCCCATCACGAGTGGGTGGGGAAACTGAAGGAGGAGCCCTTGGTCCAGTCCAGGACAGCATCACCTTCACCAACAGATTAAGCAGGGCAGGGCACTACCTGGTACCATTTCTATGAAATGCCAAGCTTTTCTGATCCTAAATGTCTATGTGCAGGAGGGAAGAGAGGCTGCCTACACAGCCAGGCATCTTGCGGCAGAGGAACAAAGCTGCTTCCCTATTGTCCAGGGAAGTCCTTGAGCCACCATCTCTGGAGGTATTAAAATGTCAGTAGATGTGTTATTTAGGGACATGGTTTAGTGAGGACTTAGCAGCGCTAGCTACGAGTTGGCATCAATGATCTTAGTGATCCTTTCCAATCAAAGTAATTCTATGGTTCTACTTCTGAAGGAGTCCAGATCCTCAAGTCCAGATTGCTGAAGGTGTTTTGGTTGTATTTTAATGGACACCGGCTTCAGTGCGGTTAAGCAGGCAACCATCCTGAATTTGATTCATCCCATCCTGACTACAAGCTATCCTCCCACTTCTTCAGCAGTTCATGCCAGGGCTGCAGAACTGCGGGCAGTCACTTCTGGCTGTGTGGGCAGCACAGGTCCCCAGGCTCTTTTCTACAGCCCAGAGGAAAGAAGGTGTATCACTGTTACAAACACACTGCTTTCAAAACACCTAGCTGCTCACTGACACCTACAGACTGCCATCAGCTCTTCAGCGTCAATTTCATGTATTTCTGATTATTTAATTCAAATTATTAGTAAGAGTGAACATGACAAGATATCACCCACTTACTTACACCTAGTGGTGTGCTAAGGAGAGAAAGCTACAACATTTCAGTGACTGGCCAACTTCTAACTCCCTTTCTAGCTTCTGGTCGAGTTCTACTACCTGGAAAAAAAGGGGTGAGTTTGAGCTTTTGACTGATGTTAATACCCTATTTTGTGAGCAAGAAGTATCGTTTACCAGGACACCATAAATCTGGTACAACTTGTTTGCTGGAATACGAACTGACAGGTACAGTAGCTAGCTGTAACTTCCCAGCTAGGCATATCCTAGATCAGAGGAAAATCCAGAGTGTGGAAAAGTGGTTAAACTTATGGTAATTGTTACACTCCTGTATCTTCTACCAACAATGAAATCAGTTTATAACTCCTGAATGGAAAAAATTATTCCATATCACTCTCCATTGTTCTGCATCACTACCAGGAAACAGGGCTATTACACAAGATGAGGTTTACCCTAGATGAGAAGAGATACATTTTGTTTTTAAATTATATGAAAGAAAGATGAAAGTAAATCCTTTCTGACCTGGCAAATTTCTATTGTGCACATGCATCAAAAAAGAAGACTTTTTTAAAGAACACCACAGGCATAGCATGAACAAAGTAAAATCTAAGTTAAGGCAGGTGCTGTGTGCTCAGCTAAACCAGGGATAGCACATTAAATCTTTTCAAGAACACCAGAGGTGAATAGCCCTGCTCAGGAGGGCTGACAGTGGATAACAGCAAGGATAACCCCTGCCACAGCTACCCTGCACTGTGGGTGTCCCCACACTAGACTGCCTGTTCCAGCTTTGGTGGCAGTGCTCAACCTGCAGCAGTTTTGTGCCAGGTCAACACCTGCACCAAAACACCTCAATAACCCAGGAGCCAAAATTCCCTTCTGCAGGACACACCTGCAGCTGGAGCTGGGGTCAGGACCAGCCAGTACTGAACCACTGAAATGTGCCACTCTGACACTCTAGAATTTGGGGAGTTTGATTAATCTTTAGGCTTTTAGATAAGTTATACCAGTAAATACATACCATAGATTTTGCTGTGATATGCTGTAATTTTAATGCAGTTTTTAATGTATTATAAAAAATCAACACATCAGTCAAGGTATCAGTCATTACATATGCTTTGTTCTATGGAAGTGAAAGGATATCACAACAAATGGGTAATGTTTAGCATCATTACCTCCCCGTGTAGCATACTTGCTGGGGCAGGGACAGACATGGAGCTATTTCTAGGCTGTTCCATGTAATGCTTTTTTGATCTGCTCCAGTCATTGTTTCCAGGTGTTTATCTGTTGTTGTTTACCTGAAGGGAAGCAGGTTTTCCCTCTCCTGCTACAAAGCCATAAAAAGGAAAGACTGAAAGATGAGCATAAAAAAAGCTTCCAGCCTCTCTTCCCTAAATGGCAGGTTGCTACTCTGCCTTGAGCCTTTCTGGCTTCTGCCAAACCTCTTTGGATTGAATGGAGAGAAACCATGTAGGAAGAAGGAGAGGTTATTCCCACCATATGATGAGAAATATACTTTTCTTTCATTGCCTAGGCCCAAACCAGTCCCCAGCCAGGGCAGGTCACCACACAGACAAACCTGCCCGCACTTGTGTGGGGGCACGAAGAGGTATGACAGGTTTGGGGGTTGCCCACCCTGCCTGCATGTGAGTGCTGCAGGTGGACTTTAGAGATGATGCCCTTTGGAGATGAATTGCTCTTTCCTGGTATTACAATAGGATTTTTTAAATTGTGAGATGACGCTGACTAAATTAAGATGTAAACCATATGCTGAAGTCAATAGCATGGATTTTATTTAAAAGTAAATGAGTGGTAGAGAGAGGTAAGGGGAACGCAAAGAGAGCGACAGAGAAACAGATCAAGTAGAAAAAAGACATCACCACTCTGTAGATTCTGATGGCATCCTATTGGTCTTCTCAGTGATTGCAGGCTGTACACAAGTGGTAGGAAAAAAAAATCCACAAAAGTCTCCTTTCATAGGGCTTATATTGCTCAGGGGCTAGGTGGAAATGCCCCTGGTACCTCCCCTGGATGATGTAATACTGGATCAGGAACACTCAATGAGTCTTCAGTGTTCCTGATCCAGTATTAGACATCTTAGACACCTTCTAAGACTGTCTGCAGCTGTCTCTCACACTAGTTGAATCAATCACGGACCCATTATGGTGCATCATCCGGGATGACTATGTGTGAATGTCCTTGGCGCTCCCAGGAGGGTTTTCACAGCTGAGTCATTATGTAAGGGAGGATGCTGGAATGATAAGAAGGACTATCCCACCTAGCAGGACCTGCCCCTTATCATCCTCTTCCCTTATCTTGAAATCCAGTTTGTAACCTCAGGTGTGCCTGCCCTTCTGCACCTGGGGACCACGCTGTGCATCAGGAGCCAGGCACCCAGATTGTTTGAGCCATGAGCACCAATCTCTTGCAGCACCTGGGCGGTCACTGCAGGAGGTCAAATGTTAGCAATTCAATCTCTTACACTTTTGGATACATTCTCCTGTGACCTGCATAGCTGGACAATAGTACCACCTTATCTCAAGGTCCTTTTGCAGCCCAAATCAGTCGGCATATTCAGGGAGGGGTGAGATTCGGTAGATGAGCAGCTGTTTCTTTGGAGTTTGCTACAATGGACAAAAGTCTTTTGGTGATCTTAGCAAGGTTTAAGCTATTAACCATTTCAGTCTCTGGCACATGGGAGCCCTGCTGCTCTCTGTGGCTAGGCCAGGGCACGTAGCAGGAATAGAGGGTTATTCTGGTCAGGAGAACACCCCTGTCTCTGGCTGCAGTACCCTAACAGTGAGTCCCACGTGTGCAGCCAAATCTGCACATGTGCACCCAGCGAAGACGCTCTTCTAACACCTCATTCCCTCCACTCCCGTGCCACCCCCATTGCCTGTGACTTTCTGTAGTTACTTGGATGTTGAATTAGAAACACTTAAGTATACTCTTTGATCCTCCACTGGAAATGGTAGCCCAACACATTTGGCTGTTAGCAGATTGTGGGGACTGTATGCACAGGCCTGTAGAGCGAAATATCTTTGGTTTTGTATAGAAACCCAGCTGTGCTCACACACGTGCCATGGCACATGCTGCATTGAAGTGTGATGACAATCACAACTGAAAACACAAGATGCTTTCAAGGCCCTGTAATTGAAGCAAAAGAAAAAAAGGCTGGGTTTAGAGCCTGTAGTGATCAGTACCAGGCCACGCTCTCAGCAGAACGCTGCCTTGTAACTGGCAGTATTTGACAGACTTTGTAATTGCCTTCCAGGCCTGGTGGCTGTGGCTTGTGCAGAATTGGAAATCAGAGCCATGTGGGACCAACTGAGTGGCTGCAGTCTGTGCTGTCCGTGTTTGCCGGCAGGCAACAGAGTGGCAGCAAAGGTGATCCCTGAGGGAAGTGAAGCAGGGAAAAGAGGGCTGGGAACAGCCAGCCACCATCTGCAGCTCCTTGACAAGGTGCCCCATAATATCAGTGCCCTGCATCTCAGCCAGGGGAAGGGTGGTTTTTGCTGGAGCAATGACTTCATTATATGTCAGTGCTTCGGGGTGAGTGACTTTTAATGGAAGTCTGAAGGCCGGTCCCTCTGCTGAAGCTGCCTTCAAGCCCCTGGGAGCCTTGGCTGGGATGCAGTTGCTGTGCCACCAGCGGTCATGAGCCTAACGGGGCTTTTGTATTTCCTATCTTGCCTTATTTGGCTTTCCACGGGTGTGTTTACTCTTGCCCTCTCCCTCCTTCTCTCCCTAAATACATGCCTGTACATACCTTACGAGTGTATGTAGAACAAAACATACTCATTTATGTGCTGTACTTGTGATATTGTTGGCTTATTTCCCTGGATTAAAGGATTACATGCTAAAGATGTCCATCTATGCTTGACTATTCATGCAACCCTTTAGCAATCATTTACTGTCAGTCTGACCACTCTGGGTTGGGTTTGATTTTCTGCTGGGAAAATTCAGTGTTACCAGCTTAAACTTGCTGTCTGGAGATCCAAGAACTAAATGTCCCCTGTCAAGTAGCAAGAAGGACTAACCTCTCTGCTTATCAGACTTTACCAGGGCTTAAAGAAATGAGTTTTACAAGAAGAACTGAAACAAAGAAAGGAAAAACTATAAAGTATCATCTTGGAAAATTTGGTGAATCTTCCCAGACTCAGAGAAAACTAGGGAGAAAGTTGCTGTCCTGCACCTGAAATGCATGTGGATTCAGGGAAGATTACAGCATATTCCAAGGAAAGTAATCACTTTTATGGCTTGGCAGAAAGGCCTAAGATATCTATGCTGCTCTTTTTATTAGATTCAGCCTAACACTACCTTGCCAGATACTTTCTGGCATCAGTCTTCTTTGTTTATACCAATTCCTCTCTACCACCACCTCACTGCCCAGAACATCTCCAAAGTATTCCAGCTTTTTTAAGAAAGGAGAAAAAACATGACAGTGTCTCTTAGAGACATACCTGGTTGGTCAGATATTCTTTCCCAGAAATTCTCCCTCTTTCCTCATGCTCTCTTACTCAAATCTTAGCCCAAAGCTTACTCTTCTTCCTATGTCTGCTGGCCCCTGGTTCTTGTGGGACACAAGAACTCCATTTTTCTCAACCTTTAAATGCAAATTTTTGTAACAAATAGTTTCCCCTTACTTAATTATAACTGGCAAAGAAATCTCAGCTGGTGCAGTCAGCTTCTTGTGCTCCTCTGCTGCTGGCAGGGGTCTGTCTCAAGCCCTCACAGCTCAGCTATTCTTCTCCCTGTCCTGTCAACAGAAACAAGTGATGAGGTTTTGCCCTTTTAAATCCCCCAGTCCCATTTTGAGGATATGCATGTAAGAATATATACATATATATACACACACACACAGATATGTGCACAAGGTACCCACTCAAGAAGGGAAGTCAAGAGAACCCTCCCACTGCCTTCCTTCCACTTTGTGGGTAGAAGAAGTTCAGGGAATTCAGGGAAGAATTCAGGGAAGAAGTTCACTATGTGAAGGACCCTAAAAACAATTGTAAACAACTAGATGAGGAAGTGTGCAGAGAGCCTGTGTGGTGGGTTAATGTTTCAATTGCATTGTAAACTACATGCTCGCATGTCTTGGAGTGTCTTTGGGCAATCTCCACACTGGGATGAGTCTCATTTTGAGGGTGTGGCCAAGCTGTGCTGTCTCTGAGGTTCAAGACATGTCCAGAGAAATTCTGGGTGGCTCCAGGTTTGGAAACAACTCTGGCACCTGGAGATTGTCTCAGCTGTGTCCTTGTCATTTGGCCTGTAGCAGAAACCACAAGGCTAAGACAATTCTGATTCTTCAGAATAACACAGGACCATTTTTTTTCCTTATATGTTTTCAGAATAGTTTGAGGTTATGTGCCCAGTTTCATTGTTTCCCTTAGTTCTGTAAAACATTATCAGTCTTAACTTGTCTGCATGTTCATGGAGGTGGTTATTTTTTTATAATTAACAAGATCATTAAATCAAGACAGCACTTGTTTAACATTTCAACACATTTTTGTCTGTAAGTGATTCACTCAGATTGTTTTCCTGGAAAAGGTGTTTTCTGGGCCTGTAATCCCCTAGGTATGTGTTTCACCTTCCAATACTGAACTGGTATGGACATACGGAAAGAAAATCTTATCTCCTTGAATAATACCTAATACCATTCCCAGAAAAAAATAATAATGATCTGGCAAATCTCCAGCTATTAATGTTTTATGAGTAACTAACTCCTCCATATGCTGTTTTCATCCTTCTTCAGTACAGGAACAAAACGTCCCAGGCGCTCCAGTGCATTTGCCAAGTTTCTCAAGCACTGCATCATCATGGCTTCCATAGATGCTCATTGTCATAACAAAAATCATGGTGTACTGTTTGATATTTATGTGGATATTTAATGCACTTTTATAAGCTTTCTTGCTCTTTCCTTCCCTTTTGGATTTTACTTCAATGACAGGTATGAACTCTATGCATAATACAGGGAATGTATTTAATACACAACAGTTGTTCTCTCACATGCAAGTGGTTTCTATAAAGAAACCATCCATCACTGCTATATAATAAGCCACATCTTTTCCTGAATGGTCTGTCCTTCTGAACTGACATATGTGGGGATAAATAATACCTACTATAAAATAGGGAATGTGCAAATACTGGAGTTACTCTTGGAAGAGTTATTAATTTGAGATAAAACTATTAAAAGTGCCCAGATAACTTATGAGTCCAAAACCCATTTTCAAAAGGGGGTGAGATCTAAACCAGTGAAAAGATGTAGATGACTAACCAATATAAATAACCCAAAACCTAGTGTGGCTGCTTTGGACTGTTTCAGGTCTTCAGTCCTTCTCCTGTTGCACACGAGTTGCACACTCATACTTCCATCACTGACATTCCCTGGGCTTGTATACATCCATAGGGTCATCTCAGGATTTTTGAAGCTAATTCTTATTTCCTGCACAGGTTAATCTCTTTGATATAACCCTGTTCTCCCACTGCTGACTGGCATAAGAGCCACTACTGTTGTCCAAGACCCATAATGTTTTTCACTACCCACCAAACCTACATAGTTTCTAACTAGTCAGGAACTGGTGATTGATTCATGGCATATGTCAAAGCCAAGATGTTTCATGAAAATATTTTTCATTCTGGAAACTTTTGCCATATGCAGGCTGGAGTTTCCTTGTCAATCTCGCAGGCTGTGTTCTCTGGCAGCAGATGATGCCCAGCTCCAGTTCAGGGGTTGCAGCTCCCAGCCCTGCAGCACAGCAGGGCTGATGGCTAGTCTGGAGGCCCAAGAAAGAAAGGGATTGAGGAGTTTCTATGTTCCACACATCGTAGAAACATCCAGGAAATGCTGTGGAGTCATGTCTGACACCATTGCACTTCAGACATGGCAGCTACCTGAGAAGACCATGCCTCTCCTCCCCATGGGCATGTCTGCTGCCTTTGATTTTGGAAAAGACAAAAAACAATGTTTTGAGCTTCCTAGAACAAAATATTTTCAGAATTTCATTTCCACTGGAAAGGTAAAACTTTTTTAGGCTTTGTTCCAATCCAGAACAGAACAAGAAACTGTCTGGAAATGTTAGCATTTCCACAGAAACAACATGCCAAGTTTTGACCTACACTTTCTTTTAAAATCTCTTTTTAGTCTGAGTCCCAGGACATGAATTGCTAAATATTCTCTGGAAACCGTGGTTTCAAAGCCCTTGTTTCTTAAGAAGATATTTCAAATTTCTGTATCCACATCCTTCACCTGGAAGTCACCTCATCCATGTGTCTCCCCTCCATAGTTGTGTATTACACTACTGTGTTGTGGGGGATTTGTGTCCAAATGTGGTACTGTGACAAAAAATGCAATGTGAGACTATCTGTTTAAACTAGGAATTACATTAAATTATGTGATGCAAAGTGAGCAATGTGTGATAAAAGCATAAAAATGTGCAAAGAGAAGGGATCTGTGTTTCTCTGAACATGACAGGGAATTGGCTACACATTTCCTGATAATATTGAATGATGATGGATGGTCATGTCCTCTTATATGCATGTGTTTCCTAATTTCTCCTAGCATGAAGTGTAGCTCCCTAGGTATTGTCGCTACCTGATCCTCTCCTGCTATTTCAGGGACTCTCACTTGCTCCTGGTGATGCCACTTGGGCTGCATGGGGACATTTTATATCCATTTGCTACCTCCATGCACAAGTGAACCTGTTGACCTACCCAGTGAAGGGTGGTGATGGGAACTGAGAGTGACAGAAATCTGGAATTATTAATTTCTAATGCTCTGAAAAAACACCAATTTTCAAAAGTGTAGAAGGCTAGAAATAAATGAAACATTACATCAAGCAACATCCTTCCCATTTCAGATATTTTGCCTTCAATTTTGCACTTTGTCCCTTAGGATGGCAAAAAGCTCTGGCCTCTCTAGCCTTCACTCCCCATCACAGGAAAAATGTCCAGCCCAGTCTTGCGGAGACTCCTCGGAGTATTTAAAGTGAGCTGCCTTTCCTGCTGGCTGGTGGGGACTCTAAATATCCCTTTTCCACCTCAGCTGTTTTCTTCACACTCCTTGTTCTAAATTCTTGTCTTGTGGTCTGCAAGACTGGAACCTGGAGATATAAATGTAGAATAATTTTATCCCACATGAAGCTACAAAATTTTTCTTCCTCCTTAATTTAGGAAACAGGGTATTCCAGTGGAGGATGAGTCTCACCTATATATCATTGTTGTCTGGACATAATCACATGCATTCAGTAAAGACACAGATTCTTTTGTAGACCTTCCTAGCAGACCTTAACTCACAGCTTCCTGATACCTGCAAGTGAACAATCCTGCTAGCAATAAAAAATAATCTCCCAGGAGGACCTCTGATCCTAAAGCAAATGCTGTTTAATTCACCACTCATTAGGAGTGTATCTGGATTGATTTATTGAGCACTTCTGACCCCAAATCTTTTGAACAGCATTCCTTCACGATTATGTAGGGAATGGATTTGGGCAACACTTCTGGCAGGCAGAGTGGAAGAACACAAGTGATTCCTGAAAACATTAATATCATGTAACTTAATGAAAATATACTAGATGTTGGCATGCCCAGACCAGGAGGGATATGTTTTTATGTTTTCCACCCAAGGCCCTGGTAACTCCTGTAGTAAATATGGCTAGAACAATTCATTAATTATACATTTGTGGTTGTTCCACTTTTGAGTATTTTAGAAATATGCAGTCACATTCAATTCATTAAAAAAAAGCAAAAAAAAAAAAAAAAAAGCAGTATCTTTGGGTCCAAAGAAAAATCAATATATTTGGTAAGTACACAACAGCAGGCAGCAGCAGAGAGTATGATACCCTCTAGGGAATCAGCTTCTACTTTTTGCTTAATATTCAAAGAACAGAGAAATGGATACAACTGTACCAGAAGTCTTTTATATGTGACTGGCTACAGACAATTGCTTTCTAGTTGAGAAAAACAAACTTTCTTGCCAGTTATACCCAAGCAATTACAAACATGAAGAGAATCAGCCTCTGTTCTCTGAGCATATAAACAAAACACTTCAAACCTTCTAATAAGAATCAAGAGAGCAAAATACAACCTCCTGCTATATGCCTTGCCATTCTCATTTGGCTACAAAAGCAGGATAAAGCATGGAACAGGCTGTTGGCTGTATGACCCGTTTGGCCAACAAAGGTACATGCAGCAAATCTGGAATGTGCACTCCCCTCTCTCCTGGCTTCTAGTTAACAAGAGAGTGCAGAACCTGGCCTGTCTCCCCGACAGAGGCTCCAGAGAATTCACCAGAATATTTGCATCTACATAAATCACTAAGAACAACTGTTGCTTTAGGTGCCACTTGAATGGTAAGCAATGGCATCAGCTCTCATGAATTCATCAGAAAATTCCTAAGAAAGTGAGCTATTATCTTCAATCAGATCTCTTCACAGGAGACTAAATGGCTGGGGAAAAGCCTAATGAGCAATTTTTGAAATGGTTTATCTCAACTGACTTTTGGCACCTAACTCTCCAAATCAAATGTCTATTTCTAGTGGGTTTTCTCTGTTCTTAGCAGAGAGCAAGGGCTTCTTCAAAGAGTGAACTAGATGACAGAAGAGCTAACAGGGAGTGATTAAGGCCCTGAAGTTAGGTGCCTGTTGTATAAAGTTAGTAAGAACTGTGCAGAAAAGACTTACAATATTGAACATTGTCAAACACAATTTGTCATCAGTAAGGATCTGACAACAGGATTTTCGGTGTGGTGCAGACAGGTTCCTGTGGGTCTGCTCCATCTGAGATGTGCAAAATCACAGTTTTCCCCAAAAGGGGCACTGTTGGGTTATCTCCTTCAGCTGCTGCATAGGGTATCAGAAGGGTTGGAGAGCAGAAATCCTCACTTCTTGAGCACCCACAGGACTGGGGAGGGTGAGCTGGTGGGACAGGTGCGCACATCTCACCAGGCTTCCCTACACAGACACTCCTGAAATGGGATTGTGCTGTCCTCATCAAAACATTGATCCCAGAAGAGCTGACTCTCTGCAGGTGGCTTCCCAGAGCAACCCCACTATGGTGAAATTGGGCACAGTCCCAGCTGCTTTCTGAGTGCCATGAGTGTGCCATGAGTGCAGCCTCATCTGGTGTGGTCGGCAGGCTCCCTCCTGAGATGCGAGCAGGAGCCTCAGCAGAGAGGAATGGAATCTAGCCATCTCCAGGCGCTGTCTAATGAGGACTCTGCAGTGTAGGTGGGGGAGGGACTCTTTCCTCAGCAGCATCAACACACCCGAGAGCAACACAAATCCATTAATTACCTTGCACTGCTAACAAGTGACAGAAAAAGCTTTGTATCTTGTACTTGCTGCTGAAAATGCATGGAAAGTTTGTTCACTCTTCTGAGACCTTTCCAAGGGGCCACACAAGTGGCGAGCCAAATAAAGCCAGACACAGCCAGATCTGCCTTTTGCTTGGGCCTTCTGGATAAAAAAGTTTGTGGTACATGAAAGAGCTCTTTGAAGTGACTGATGTTGATGCTTGCAATGCGTTTGGGTGAGCGCAGAGAATACCAGGGCTGACGGTGTCAGGAGTCAGGGGGGCTCTTCCTCCTCGTGCATGGAGAAGCTGAGGATATCTGAGAGCTCTTTCTAATACACTGTGTGTCTATATTTAAAGGACTGTGTAAATTTAGATTCTGCTGAAACAGGGGAAGGGTTTGTGATACAGGGCTGAGGGTAGAACAGCATTTGCTGCGGCTCTGCGTCCTGCCTCGCAGCGTGGCTGCGTCACCAAGCCCACTTTTCCCTGGGTGGCTGCTACAAATTATTCTGATGGCAGGGTATGTTTCTGACTTCAGAACGTGCTCCCTACAGATGGCAGTGAATTACTTTTTAACAAAAACAAAATTTGTGATCTAGAGTCTCCAGAATAAAACAAGAACCTACCAAGTAGGTGGGCTTTTTACAACAGTTCAAAGAGCTGCCAAATGACCTTTCTTCTCTTGGTGGTGAAACAAATCAGTGTGTTTGATACAGAGTTTTCCATGGAGATTCACTGTAAGGTAATTAGAAAGAGAGGGGGAAAGAGCAAAATGAAAAACCAATAAAGAGAAAAAAAACCAGCTTCGTGTCACGTCCAGAGCAAAATCCACATCGCAGGCTGAGAGTTTGTGAGTTGCTGGAACTTTCCAACAACTGTACTATTGGAACTATACTGTTGTGGTATATCTAAGCATTAATTAGAAAGCAAATGTTGAACGTCTTGGGGCAAAGGTGTAACAAAGAACAAAATCCAGTCTGCCTGCTCCCATTAGACCAAGAGGCATCCACATGGCAACCCTGCCCCAGCTTAACCTCTCTGGATGCTGCTCTGCTCCATCTAGGAAAAGCAGGTAGAGAAGACCAGTGGCACTTTCTTCTGGGAAAGCAAATGGGAAAGCAGAGGATTTGAGTTGGGATGACCTGGCAAGGAAGTAGAATGGTGCTTGTGTAGGAAAAAAAGTACCAAAGAGTGAAGGAGTTAAATGAGGTTACCTTTTCAGCCCCTTACCCCTGTCATCTTCCTATTTTAAACACAGAAACCTCTAGGGCATAAAGCAACCCAAAGACAAATCCAGTCTGTTCAGCTGGAAGCTCCTCACTATTCATAAAGTCATGTATAGTTCTCAAATATTCCAGCATGATTAAAAAGAGGAAATTCAAATACTTTATAATCTTTGGGTTATAGGATTAGGCCTGTAATAGTTTTACTTGGCTTTATAAGCCTGATCCTGTCCCAGTGAACATGATGGGAGGTCAGTTATCAAGCCACAGGGGGCAAGATAAAGCTCTATATGAGTTGCTATTTTTTACTCTTAAAGTTAGTCTTATTGGGCCCAGCCCAACTTCAGCTGAAGTTAATGAAAAGACTCCTGCTGACTTTAATGGGAGTTGGATTGGCCCTATTGTCCTTTGTTGAGTAAAGTAATTTTAAAAGGTCAGGAGGTGAATTAAAAGAAAAGAAACAACTACATCGATGAGCTTTATTCAACGTGCTCACCTTATAGAGAAGAAGTGTTGTCTTAGCTGGTGAGAGTAGTTCAAACTAGTCCTTGTAGACTCTGCAAGGATAACAAAGTATGGTTTTACTCAAAAAAAACAAGTGGAAATGAAAATTTCTGAGTTCCGATTTAATGATCTCCCAGTGGCTTCTATCTGCTCAATTTACAAATAAAACAGACACCAAAGTTAGACCCGAATCTCAATGAAAGCAACCTTATGCCAGTGCAATTCCACTGACTTCAACGGACTTCTTCTTGATGCTTCAATGGGTTTCTTCTTGATTGACATGGGTGGGAGAGCTAAAATAAGACTTTCTGTTTCTAATTGCTATGGCCAAACTTTGACTTGGTCTATGCACTCTTCTTTCAGGACAGTCACTCCTTCACCTACACCTGAAGCAATTTGGTAGTCAAAGTGACAGGGAAGAGAAGATGGATTAGTTAATGAATCTGCTGATTGTGTAAAAAGGAGCACAGATGCAGCTGATTCTCCAAATGTTCCCTTGGCTCTGAAGGACAAAGAAGACAAAAAGGAAAGAAAAACTTACAGTTGTGCTGTGTGAACCTTCTGGGTTTTGACTTGCTTTCTGTGTCCTCTCCAGCTCTAAATAAAGCAGAGCACAGGTTTTATCACCATAGTCAGCAGATAAAACTATCAAATGTAAAGTTGCTATTTTTACACAATACTTTTTCATTATAAATTATAGACCAGTCTCCCTCGGAACAACTCTCATGCGCTAGTTGTCAGAAGATGCTGTAGGCAATCAGCTTCACAAAATTTTTCTTTTCCTGCTTACCCTTTTTACAGGATGCATTTTATGACCAAGGGGCATAAACCACGCTAAATTTCTTGGGAAATGCCTGAAGGAGTTTGGTTTTGATTTCTTTGCATTGTCCTTGCTAAATATTTCATGCTGTGAAATTCAGATAGCCTTCTCGGATACAGGAAGTAGCAACAGGAAAATTAAAGTGTATACCTCCTCCACACCCCACACCCAAATTTACTGCCATTTTATATATACAAAAATAATCTCTACCAAGCTGAGATGAATCAGAACCATCTTTCCAGCAGATGGTTAAAACTAAAGGGAGAGAAGGATGGCTTCATTGGGCTAATTCAAGAAAGGGAAAAGCCCTCTAAGCAGTTCCCTTTCCAGGCAGGTTAACAGTCCTGCTCTCAGCAGGTTCTGACCATCAATGAACTAACCCTTTCCTCCAACTCGCCTCCCACTGGGCAGGAATTCAATGCATGAGCAGAGGTCAGTGTTAATGCCATCCTGCTAAAGGCATCCAGCTTTCATTCACAAAACAAACCACTTTACTGGCTTCAGAGAGAAAAGGAAGTAACCCAGGAGAAAAAATGCACAAAGATTTTCTATTAAGCAAGAAGCAGTTTACGGTATAATACCAGTTGCAAAAGGGTTGAATCAAACATTGATATAATATATCTTTAAAGCAGCTTCTTAAATGAGAATCAATGAAAGATTATTTTGCCCATGTCTAAGCTTAATGGCACACTTACACAAATAAGATGAGAAACTACAGCTGCAGTGAACACTTGTGCTGCCTGCTGCAGTTTATAGAACAAACATTTGGGATCTATCTGGCTAATCATGATATATTTTTCATGTGATCATCTGTTTATGCTTCTTTGGTTTATACCTCTTGGGCTGGGCTGCGTGCCAAGGGGCTGGGGGCAGCAGTCAGCAAACAGCCCCCGGTCCCACGGGACCCTTGCGGGACCCTCAGTTACAGCTGCTCCAGCCTCACAAGGGAACAGGTCCCCCCACTCCTCCTGCCAGTTTCTGAGGATGCAGTGTGTTTGGAGCTGCACAGCTTAACCCCTCCTGTGCTTCCCACAGCCCTTCTTGCACTGGAGCCACAGACTGGGCATGCATATGTAAGGACAATGGCATATTCTGTTTCATGCATATTTTAACCAAAAAGCTGTATGGTGCCCTGGGGTAGCTCGATTGGGCCAGTGGTGGAAACACTTATTTCTGCACTTCCTTCCAAAAATTTTTTTTTTTCTTATGTGGCTTGTGTCACTTGGCCAGTGGCAACATGAGGAACTCACCATGGCTGCCTACTATGCTGGGCATCCTGGTTGGCCACTGTCCCTGTGTCCCCAAAGGCTCTGTACTGTTGTTCCTGCACCAGACCATCCCCTCTTTCCATCTGTAACTGCCATGGCTGTTTCACTGGGTATCTTCATCTTTCAGCCATGTGCATCCACCGAGGCCATGCTTTCCCCCTCAGCTCTTTGCCTTGTGCCTCCCCATCCACAGCCCCACAGCCAGCTCACACCCCAGGGTCCTGGGCTGATTTCTGCCCTCCCAGACCACAGCCAGCTGGACCAAGTGGCAGCAGTCAGGGGCCAGCCCATGCCAAGTCACCGGTGGTGCTGCTGGTGCCCATTGCAGACCCCATGGTCTCCCTACACCGGACTCAGCGCGTGCTCCTCTCCAAAGCACAGGTGCAGCAGCAACACACTGCAACTTGACAGTCAGATCATCAAAGCTGAACAAAAAAAATCAGGGTGAAATCTGTTAAAATTAACCTGATTATTAAGAATAATCTGAGCAGCTGGTAAGATTCTGGGAAGAGGCTGTCTGCATGTGAGATCTCCTGCTTCTCTCCCATGGATGAAGCACAGCCAGTTCAGAAAACACTGAAGCAGACACACTTCTGTAGCCATTGAAAAACGCAGAGGTTAAAGGAACCATGAAATAAGCCAGTGATGGCCTATGCCTCCAGCTCAAGGCTATGATAAATTTTAGAAGTGTTAGAGCTGCTAGTGGGGCCTCCAGCTGTGATAAAGCAAAAATAGGGCTCTCCCAACATCACAGCACTAGCCAGGCACTGGCAGCAGGCAGGAGGGTTCAGAGCAGCACTTGATGCTGGTTCTAGTTTTAGCAAAGGAGTAAGTCACTTTGAGCCCCCACCCAGAATGGCTGTACAATAATGAGAAGGAAATGCAGAATGAACCTGAGTAAAGCCACAGGCACACAGCTCCCTAACAGTGACCCACCCTGTAGCTGGCTGTTCTGCTGATGGTCACTAAAGTTACCCACTTCCCTGGTTAACAGGCAAATAAATGATATCATTGTTCTCTATCAGTTGTCATACATCTGCTCTGCAGAGGACCACAGACTTCCTGGACAAGCAGTGAGAGGGCTTTGTGGGGTTGTGCCATGTCTCCTCAGCCAGGCTGGGGCTCATGGGGTTGCTGGCTCTCCCAAAGGAAACTTCAGCTTGACCTTGCCCTTCATCACAAGAGAGGCTAGAGACTCCGTGGGTCCTTCTGCACACACAGACAATGTGACTTTGGGAGTCTGGCAAATAACAGCGGGGTCTGTTATGCCCTGCCTGCTCTCACAGCACCTTAGGGTTTTGTGGGATGGACATCACCTCTGCACCCAGAAGGCTGTAAGCCAAAGTAGTCTAATCTACTGGTGGGATCTGAGCCATAGCATGTAGAAAACTGCTCCTCCAAAAATTCCACCACTGGGGAAAAGACAGAGTGCCCATACTTTTCAAATGCCTCACAGCTGAAAGCAGGTCCCACATGGCCTGGCATGATAAAGGACAAGTGTGTGGGACCCTGAGTCAAAGGGCGTTGCAATCCCTGTGACTACTGACACAGCCTGGAAGGGTAACCCTGCACACAGAACTGTCATGCAAAGCTGAAGCATGTAAAATCCCTGTCTGAAAAGGGTGAGTGAGTGTTTCTCTGTGCAGTCTTTACCTCCCTGAAGATGTTTACTTTGCACCTTGTGCTTCCCCTCTGTTTCCTTCCTCTCTACTTCACACCACTAATACATTAAGCACAGAGTAGCAATGAAACAGAAGAAATGAAAATGCAGTCTCAGCAGCAATAGCTCTCAAGCTGTGCTGGAAGGAAAAAATTAAAGTAAGATGGGTGGCTGAGGGAAGGGATCAATGCGCTTGTCTGGCTCGTGGGTCCCCACAGGGAAGTCCTGGTGCAATGGTCTCTTCCTTATCTACATCCCATGGCACAGCACTTCAGTCTGTAGGAATACCATGAAGATAGAGGATTGCCATGCAATAGACCCTTCACAATCGGGTGCCAGCAAAATTACTGGAATGTGTCCTTGCTACTAAGCAGTGGGCCAAGGAAAAAGAAAAGGAGCTACAGAGAGTGGCAAAGGAAGGAAGTGGGGAAGGAGGTCCTTCTCTCAGTCTGGGATGTCCCAGTTCATACACTTTTGGAAAGAAATTAATTTTCATAATGCCTAAAGTAGGTTACACAGTGTAAAGCCTCCTCCTCATTGTTCATTAGCTTCACTGATTCTTTCATACAGAGCCTGCAGGCCTTTTGCCCGTGTTGAACATGTCCTGTGGAGGTCGTGGGGATGGCTGAATGAGAATAGTTGGCTGACAGAGAGGCTGGTGGTTGCTGCACTGGCAATTTTTCTTTTCATCAGTCATTTTAGGCAAGCCAGGATGTTCCTTTCTCAAAAATCTTGATCTACAAGTACAGGCCCCAGACTGCTTAATATTCTGGGTGCTGAGGGAATTTCAAATTCCTACAGTGGGACATATGTCTACAGAAACTCTTTGTAGTATTTGAGACCCTCTGTAATACTTGAGTGGGTTCAAGTTTTTTTATATTTTTACAATAGGAATATGAGAAAGCACAAAGCTCACATATCTGATGATTGCACAAGTGGGATTTTTTTTGGGGGGAGGGCAATAATTTCAGTCTGATCTTTTTCCATTATTTTTATTCAACTCCACATTCCTCAGTTCAGCTCTACTTAAACACAAAACAGAAACAATGAAGTGGCCCTTGTGTGAGGAGCAGCACTTGGAAGAGACAGTCCCTGGGAGACCACAGGTGCTGGTGGCCTCATTTTATAGGATGGCGACCGATATCCACCAGTGTCTGGAAACACCAAGCCTATTCACATGAAAAATAAATCTCATGTGAAATATGGGCTTCCATGGATCATCTAGTAAAGGTGAACGTTTTTTATATCATATTGCACACTAGGAAATAAAAACCAAACTGCACTGACAGGATGCATTGACAGTGCCCTTTCTACAGCAGATTTTTATGTGTTTTCCAGAGTCTTTAATTCTCTTACTTCAGAGTCCCTCTCACTGTGGATTTATGACATGTTTCCTGCCTCCCTTCTCCTCATCTGTTCTCCCACATCTCTTACTTGAACTACTTTAAAGTGACACGCTGACGCATATCCATGCGATGAAAGCGAGCACATCGCTCCGGACGTGACAGAGCGTCTTTCTCTGCAGCGTGGTGACCCGCACCAGCCAAGAGCCCCAGCCAATGTCTGAGTGCAAATGCAGTGGACAGGCAGAGGGACAAATGCCTGGCAGGAAAAAGGCCAAAACCAGGCAGGTAGAAAGTCTTGGACTCCATGCAGTACTCAAGATATTGCTCTGTTACAACACTTTGGATGCCTCCCAGGCAGTAAGAAGTAAAACTCTTACTGCTACTTAGTCACACTCCATGATGGCAGCACTTTGGAGGTCCCCTCTGGAATAGTTACCCTCTGGTAACTTCAGACACCTCACATAGATGTATTTACCCTCCAAACCCAAAGCCACCCCACCACCC